TACAATTCAATACAAGAGGGATTTGAGGGCCCTGCTGCTTGGAGCTTACAATCTAAGAGGGAGGGGCTAGTGGTACAAAAGGTAGTAACTGTGGGGGATGGACTGGTAGGAGGAGTAGAAGATTCCATTATTAGCTAAGGGCAGGATAGGCTTTCCTGAAGAGATAGATTTTTAGAGATCGCCTAAAAGTGAGCAGAGTAGGCGATAGTCTGATAAATTGGGGTAGAGAGTTCCAGAGAATGGGGGAAGCTCTGGAGAAGTCCTGGAGACAAGCATGGGAGGAGGAGACAAGGGAGATAGAGAGCAGGAGGTCATGGGAGGAGCGGAGAGGATGGTTTGGGTGATATTTACAGACAAGATTGGTGATGTAATGTGGGGCAGAGTTGTAAATGGCTTTATATGTTATTATTAATGTTTTGCATTTTATCCATTTGGCAATGGGAATCCAGTGGAGGGATTGGCAGAGAGGGGTGGCAGATACGGAACGGTTAGTAAGGTGGATGAGTCTGGCGGCAGCATTCATGATTGACTGAATTGGGGATAGCCTGCGATGAGGTAGGCCAATGAGGAGGGAGTTACAATAGTGCTTCTCTCTGTTCAACAGAAGCCAGTCTAACAACCGACTTCTGTGGAAGGGTCATGCTGGAAAACAAGCATTCGATAAATGTTTGCAGCCAGTATCTGCAGTGCTGATCTGTGTATTCTGTTGGAGGTGGGGGAGACCCACTGTCAGAATAAAATAGTACGGCAGGGGCGATCCCGGAATTCACAATGCTCATGTGGATGTGGGGATCTGTCAGATATTATTTTTTTTTTTCGTTGAACCTACTAGTTGAACAAAAAAAAAAAAAAAACTGATTTCGGAAGACTGTAGAACAAACTGATTTCGGCTGGCTCATAATGAACAAAGGCCATCCTTCCCTACCCTTCCCTGTGTATAAGCTGCCTATTCCTTGTGACACAGATAATCATGTTAGAAGATGTAAAGTCAGCCATACATGGATTGAAATTTGTTCGTTTCTGCAGGGACTGGACGAATTTCGATCCATGTATGGGTAGGCTGGTTTTATACAACTCGATCTATCAATAAACTTGTATACAACCAGCCTGTTGGAAAATTTTCTCTCGGCTATAGCCGGTGGTGCTGATGAGTGTATTCTGATGACATGGAATTCTCTCTGCTGTCAAAATACAAAGGTTCAGCAGGAGGGATTCCCCTATCCACATTGATGTATGGATGGGGGAATCAAGTCATTTTCTTTCATTTAGCCAGTAGGTTGAACTAAAAAAAAAAAAAAAAAAAAAAGATTTGTGTATGGCCAGCCTGACACTCTAACAACCCTGTGTAGGCCTGGTACCTGGAAGAAGGATTTCTGCTGCAGTCGGATACCCATTTATATTGACAGTATATTAACTGCATATTACGGACTTGTATTTTTGTAACTTTAAAACCGCAAACCTTAAATATATCCTTATAGAAATACATGTATAAATATGTTTCTTAGTGACAAATTGTTCTTTCCCACTAGACAGGCTTACAACCAAATGCTAGTAAACCAACCAACCCCTGCATGTGATGGCTTATAAGGTTATTCATTTATTCTTTTTATTGCCTTTAGCCAACTCTGCAGCAAACAGCGTAGTGGAGAGCTTTGAGGACACGGTTTTATTTCTACCACCAATTGTTCTGAACTTTGAACTTCCTCCAGGATACCCCTCCTCTACCTGCCCCATATTCACACTCAGCTGCAAGTGGCTTTCACCAAAGCAGGTAAAGCATTTACTCATATAGTATGAAGTTTGTACTATTTCCCTTTAGCAAAATCAGACATTATGAGCATCTTAGATTTAATAAATAATATCATTATGTTGAATTTCCCAAGTCGTTTCCAGAACAACCCATGAGACATAGAGCTCCTCCCAAGGAACAGGAAACCTGTTACCCCACAGAGAATAAAAGGCAGTCCTCTCGGCTTCAGCCTCAGTTATTATTGTTGGAAGCTTGGTGGGGGGGGGGGGGGGGGGGGGTTCACTTGGGATTCCCTGCCTTCTAGCCTGGCAGCACTCTCCTCTAGGGGTGTTTGGAGATAGGCTGTGACAGTCGGTCCCTTTCCAGGGCTCGGGGAGGGCCGGAGCGGTGGCGGCCTCCCTTAACTAGTGTCCCCCTTGCCTGTGGAGGAAGAGGCGCTTGCCTGGTGTTTTGGAGATCACATCCTGGGGCAGTAGTGGCGGCTGGATTCCGCTCCTGCCCAGGCTTCCTCCTCGTGCAGCAGCTCTGTGTTCCACGTCGGTTCCAGAAGCTGTAGTGCATCACTTCTGGGGGCGAATGACATCATTCATACCTCTTGTCAGAGGTACCTGAGAATGGCCATCAGCTTGAAGGAGAATGTTCTGCACTGGCAGTCTTCAGCCCCACGGATTTTTTCCAAAGTCCTGGGAGATGTTCTGGTTCCACTAAGATTATGGGGCATTTTGATAGTTCCTTATTCAGACAATCTCCTATCAGCTCCCTCTAAAAAGCAGTTGCGGATAGATCTAAAGTTCACCCAGAATCACCTTCAGGAACTAGGATGGGTGATCAATTGTGAAAAATCGAATCTGGAGCGATGTCATTCGATAAGATTCTTTGGGTACATCATAGACTCGACAGTTCAAAAAGTATTTAGAAAAAGTGACGTACCGGGTAGCACAGCTGCAATCAAATCTTCCGGTTCCCCTGAGGGAGATTTCCGCAATGTTAGATCTCATGACAGTGTGTTTTTCAGCAGTACCTTGGGCCCATTTGCACCAACGGCCTCTACAGCATTTTTTGGCCAGAGCCTGGGATGGGTCAAGGGATATCCTAGACCTCAGAGTTCTCCTTCCAAGAAGAGTCAAGCAGTCTCTATGGTGGTGGAGAACGAAGGCACATCTCTCCAAAGGGCTAGAGTGGGTCTGGCCAGTTTCCCGAAGGATACTCACAGATACTTCCTCATGGGGTTGGGGTGCACACATACAAGAAAGGTTAACCCAGGGCCAGTGGTCAAGGGACAAGGCCAGATATTCCTCAAACCAAAAGGAACTCTTGGCTGTGGAAAAGGCAATAAGTTTTCAGATGCAATTGAAGGGTCATCATTTGTAAATCCTCTCAGACAACAATACGACAGTGTCTTATATCAACAAACATGGGGGAACCAGAAGTCCACGACTGCAGGCAATTGCAAAGAGCATCTTGATGCGAGTAGAGGTCAATCTAGTATCAATTTCGGCCTTACACCTGAAGGGTTCCCAAAACATATTGGCCGATTTTCTCAGTCATCAGGCGGTGCGCCAGGAGGAATGATTGCTGGCCGAAGAGGTTTTCTCTTGGCTCACTGATATGTGCGGCCAACCAGAGATAGACTTGTTTGCCTGTCAAGCAAATGCAAAGGTTCAGACGTTTTTCTCTATGAATCCAGGGGATGCAGCAGTGGCCTTAGATGCTCTGGCAAATTCGTGGCCCTACAGTCTAGTTTACGCTTTTCCCCCCTTCAGATTAGTCCCAGCAGTAATACTAAAATTTCAGCTGGAGAAGTTGGATCTCATCCTAATAGTGCCACATTGGCCGAAATGCCCTTGGTTCACCCTTATGAAATCTCTTAACAGTTTGCCTCCAGTGTTGCTCCCAAAAAGGGAGGATCTTTTGTCACAGGGGCCGGTTCGTTGTCCAGGCTTGGACATGTTAAACCTCTTAGCATGGTACCTGAGGAGCAGTTGTTAAAACGGGAAGTTTTTTCGGATAGGGTAGTCCAGACGTTGATCAACTATTGTAAGCCGGTTACCAGAGCCATCAATTTTAAGATTTGGAAAAAATGTAATTCTTGGATGATGGAGATGGGGCATACAGAGACTTCAGTTCCAACAATCTTAGATTTCTTTCAGGAGAGAGTAGATAAGGGACTATCTCTCAGCACCATAAAGGTATAGGCAGTAGCCTTGGGAGCTTTTCTGAAAGTTTCCCTCCTGGGTGATCCTATAGTTTCCCGCTTTTTAAATTCAGTGGCTAGAATGAAACCAGTGCCTTCCAAGTCCTGCCCTTCTTGGGATCTTTCTTTAGTTTTACAGGAGTTGACGTCCAGTCCATTTGCACCTTTGACAGAGCTTCCATTAAACTACTTATGTGGAAGACAGTTGGTGGCTATCACTACGGCTCGTAGAATATGTGAGCTGCAAGTTCTAGCAATCAGAGAACATTTCTTGCGTATTTTTGATGACGGCATTATTCTAAAAACAGACCTGGGTTTTTTGCCAAAGGTAGCCATGACTTTTCACAAGTCACAAGACATTGTGCTACCTTCCTTTGGTTCCTCTGTCTCAAAGGAAAGGGAAGAAAATTTCAGTCGGGTGGATGTAAGGAAATGTCTCTTGCATTATTTAGGGGTATCCAAACATTTCCGAAGGTCTGATGCTCTATTTATCCTTTTTGCTGGCAAACATCAAGGATTTCAGGGTTCTAAGCCTATTGCCAGATGGATCAAACAAGCCATTTCTTGTTGCTACCAGACCAGGGGGCTATCAGTTCCTTTCATTAATGCACATTCTACTAGGGCCTTATCCACATCCTGGGCAGAGAGAGCTGGTGCTTCCCCGGATCAAATTTGTAAGGTGGCAACTTGGTTGAGCTTCTCAACATTTATCAAGCACTACCAGGTGGATCTCCTGAACAGTCAGGAACAAACATTTGGGCATAAGGGCCTCCAGGCAGTGGTCCCACCCTAGGTTGGTAAGTTCTTGCTTATCGTCTCATGGGCTGTCCTGGAAGACGACTTGGGAAAACTGGAGTTAGACTTACCGGTAACCCTATTCCCAGGAGTCTTCCAGGACAGCCGGATTCCCGCGTGATGAATTATGTTATGCTATGTTGTGTTTTTCAGGTCCGTCCTTCGGTACTTGAGGTTTACTGAGGCTGGAGCCTGGAGGCCCACCTTTTATTCTCTGTGGGGTAACGTGTTTCCTGTTCTGTGGGAGGAGCTCTACGTCTCATGGGTTATCCTGGAAGACTCCTGGAAATAGAGTTACCGGTAAGTCTAACTCTGGTTTTTATTATAATTTTATAATATTAATAATATATATTAGATCCCGTCATTTGTTTAGATGAAGAGAACATAAAGGATCTGTCCAATTCAGGCTTAATGTGTGTGTCTCTGAATTCTAAAGCATGTGTTGTCAGCCTTGCTTGCTTCATTTCTGATGAATTTTCAGAGAACATGGCCCTCTGCTCATCTCCTCCTCATCTTCATAGCCCCTTCTTGTGTACAGCCAAAGAGTACAGGAAAATTATTAACTCACAAAATTACTGGCAAAATTAACAGGTATTTTTTGTACTTATCAAACATGTATGACAAAAAATATCAATGGTATATTTTAGCAGACCAAAGGGGAGCAAATACAATATATTGCTAAAAGTATTGGGACGCCTGCCTTTACACACACATGAACTTTAATGGCATTCCAGTCTTAGTCCAAATGGGTCAATAATGAGTTAGCCCACCTTTTGCAGTTATAGCAGCTTCAACTCTTCTGGGAAGGCTGTCAACAAGGTTTAGGAGTGTGTCTATGTGAATGTTTGGCCATTTTTCCAGATGCATATTTGTGAGGTTAGGCACTGATGTTGAATGAGAAGGCCTTGCTCACAGTCTCCATTCTAATTAATCCCAAAGGTGTTCGATCGGGTTGAGGTCAGGACTCTGTGCAGGCCAATCAAGTTCCTCCACCACTAAACTCGCTCATCCATGTCTTTATGGACTGATGCGCAGACATGTTGGAACAGGAAGGGGCCATCCCCAAACTGTTCCCACAAAGCTGGGAGCATGAAATTGTCCAAAATGTCTTGGTATGCTGATGCCTTAAGAGTTCCCTTTCACTGGAAGCCCAAATCCTGAAAAACGACCCCACACCATAATCCCCCCCCCCCCCTCCCCCCCCCCCCAAACTTTTTATACTTGGCACAATGCAGTCAGGAAAGCACCGTTCTTCTGGCAACCCCCAAACCCAGACACATCCATTGAATTGCCTGACAGAGAAGCGTGATTCACCACTCCAGAGATCACGTCTCCACTGCTCTAGAGTCCAGTGTTGGTGTGTTTTTACACCACTGCATCTGATGCTTTGCATTGCACTTGGTGATGCAAAGCTTGGGTGCAGCTGCTCGGCCATGGAAACCCAATGCATGAAGCTCTCAACGCACTCTTGTTGTGCTAATCTGGAGGCCACCCGCAGTTTGGAGGCCTTTAGCTATTGACTCGGCAGACAGTTGGTGACTTCTGCACACTGTGAGCTTCAGCATGCGCTGTGTCATTTTACATGGCCTACCACTTTGTGGCTGAGTTGCTGTTGTTCCCAGGTGCTTCCACTTTGTTATAACACCACTAACAGTTGACTGTGGAATATTTAATAGCAAGGAAATTTCACGTATGGACTTATTGCACAGGTGGCAACCTATCATGGTACCACGCTTAAAATTCACTAAGCTCCTGAGAGCAACCCATTCTTTCACAAATGTTTGTAGAAGCAGTCTGCATGCCTAGGTGCTTGATTTTATACACCTGTGGCCATGGAGGTGATTGGAACACCTGAAACCAATGGCTTAGAGGGGTGTCCCAATACTTTTGGCAATATAGTGTAAGAGTTGTTCATTATTAGGGATAACATATGCTTTAAAGTGCACTTAAAGTATCTCCACCCAGATGCCCATATACTTGAATATGATGGCCACAGCTTTCTGCAACCTGGTGAAATGGCCCCCGCTAGAGTCTTTAAGGACTCTGTAGTCATGGCCAAGAGCAAGAAAGATGTTTGCCACATATTGGGGAATGCAATGCCTATCAGATTTACGTAAGCATGCATCTCAAGTGGGAGAGGAAGAGATACATAGGGACAATGATTATGTTTTGAATGTTCAATCTAACTGAACTACTTTGAAAGATCGGACTTATGTGGATGGGCAAAGGGTCCATTAAGTTTGTATCTGAGATTAGTTTGAAATCTTCTGAGATGCTATTTTGTTCCTTCACAGGCATTTCTGACCTAGGCTACATTAAGATGCTTTTTTCATTCCCATTCCTCAAGCTCCAAAGCTGGCTATAGACTTAAAATTGCAGGGGTATGGGCACAATAGTTTGCAGAATGAACATATAGCATGCATTTAGCAGCTAAACATCCAACAGACTTTAGAGCAAGGGTGCTCAACCTGTTGAAGAATGAGAGCCATTTAAGTGATTTGGTAACTGGTCGTGGGCCACAATTAAATTAAATGGTTCCCAATTGTTAATGTTTTATTTTGAATAATAAACATTGTACTCCTGCAGCTGCTGAATTCTGACAGGAAGGAGAGGAGGTGAAGCCAGGTTTCAGCAGTTGCAGAAAGAAAATGGAGAGGATCAGTATCCTGTATATGCCGCCACCCCCCCTGTCCAAGTGTAAAACCGAATGTGACCCCTGACACTACACCAGTGGTTGGGGGAAATGTGGTAAATACACATCTCAATTAGTGGGTTTCAATGCCCACCCCAATCTTCAAATGTAAATGAGCCCTTACTGTCCTGAGCCCCCTATAAGGCTGCTCTCACACACCGATGTGCTGCAATTTACCCACACTGTAGATGCAGCGCAGTGCACCTGTGGCTTTCCTGGGAGGTTAACTGCCCTTTGCCATTGACTTCTACTATATCCTGTGAGTGTGGGGCACTCAAAGTGCACCAAACCCACAGGATATAATAGAAGTGTATGGTTCAGGTACAGATCAGTGTGAAAGCAGCCTAATAGTTGTTAACCCTTTTAATAGTTGCTATTAGGCTAATTGCAGAAGCGCAGTGTATGTGTTGTTTACTACAATTACCTACGTTTCCTATTCCAGCTTCTGCTGGCATCGCTCCAAGCTGCTAGAAAGGTCCCAGGCGACATGCACTTGGTATCAGTCCACCTGGGACAGGAGATACAGAGGAAGCATCAGTTTATACGTCTCCTGCTCCCTCTATTGCTGGCGCAGGCTTGATACACTCTGATGCTCTGGTATGGCGGGATGGCAAGTCCAGACTGGGAAAAAAACAGGTTGCTGACTCCGGGCATGCACTTCCCTGGTTTGAGGTCGAGGGGCACATCAAAGGGCTCTGCAGACTAAATGTGGGCCATGGGCTGAGCACGCTGCTTTAGAATCTCTATTGTGATCTTTGAAGGTTAATTACCTCATAGTACATACAGCAAACAGGGTAGTCATGGCTTGTTTTTTTTTTTTTTTTTTTTTTACTTCTTGTTTAGTTTATGTAAAATCTTAAAGTGATAAACCCTTACATAAGCCCACTAAAATGACTGACATCAGGTTATACACAGGGATGAATTAAATCCTCCTATATAAGCTTTACCTTTGCCTCTTTCCTCTACGGCCTTCCAAAGTACACAGATCAAAGGATATTACTCCTCTTCCAAGAGGCAGGAGCAGGGATCTGATGTCACACACTGCACAGCACACTACAGAGAGCTGAGTGTAATCTGAGACTTGAGTGGAGAGAATAGACACATACACCCCTCTATACAGCCTTATTGGGAAAGTTGTACATCTGAAGTTGTCAATCACCTGTTGTGTCCTGGGATGGGGCATCCCAAAGGATTGCTTGGTGTCTAGAAAAACCGTCAGAAGTAACTCCTGTAGATAGGAGAGGACAGACATGATCCACACTAAGTGATATGGACTGCTGCAAGTATACACTATAGAAGGATATGCTTTTGTTCATTTTTAATTTCAGAGCTTTACAACCCCTTTAATGTCCATAGTATGGGTACAGGAACACAAGTAGACAAGATACTGCTATAAAATATTAAACAGAATGCTCTAATCCTTTTCTACTCAATATTTCAGCTTACGCTTTTGTGTCAACATTTAGACGATTTATGGGAGGAGAACAGAGGATGTGTCGTTTTGTTTGCTTGGATGCAGTTTCTTAAAGAGGAGACTCTTGAGTTCTTGAATGTAAAATCACCTTACGAAATTCAACTTTACAATAATGGAACACACACACCTTGATGAAGACCCATGAAAAAGCAAGTCACTGCATAGTCACACCTGAAGAGGGAGCAATTGACAGACGTGCTATCCAAGATATCCAGTCAGTGTCTGCCCTTATCAAACACATATTGGACTTTAATGAGAGTCAACAAAAGAAATGCTTTGACAGCAAACCATTCTTATGCAATATCTGTTTCTCTGAGAAACTAGGCAGCGAGTGTACATATTTTAAGGATTGCAGTCATGTTTACTGTAATAGCTGCCTTAGAGACTACTTTGAAATTCAAATCAGGGATGGAGAGGTCCATGCACTCAATTGTCCTGAGCCTAAGTGCACATCAGTTGCTACACCTGCTCAGGTAACCTGTTGTTTATGTTATTTTATTTTTGTTCAGACTCCACATTTCGTTAGCCGTGCAGACATAAGTTCTTGGTTGCTTATGAGCTGAAGCCAGTTGCTATTGCATTGCTATAATTACCCATCAGTTCTTTTTGCTTGGTCTTGGGACCTACAGTAACATGAACAAGCACAAGGGATGCACAGAGAATTGTCACTGTATCATGCATCCTGCAACGTCCTTGTGCAGCTCTGCAATAGAGAATCCAGCCCTTCTCTGGTAAGCAAACTCTGCCTGTGCATTCACTGCTGATCCTGGGAGTCTAGTCAGAGGCACAGTAAGCCTTCGTTCAAATGAATGCTGGCATCCAGAAGAACATCTAACATTCAGTGTTACACATGATCCCTTCAGATCACACTGTGAATGCTCTAGGCTAGGCTAATGAGATCAATGGGATGGCGCTGACTGAATGTGAACGTTCTGGTCAGTACAATGCAAGAAAGTGGAAGTGCATATTGATTTTTTTCAGTCATTGCCATTTTTACTTTGCCCACTGTGTACACTGTTTGCAATTTACCATCAATAGGATAGGAATGTGCATGGTTGTCTACTGTTATGCACCATACAGCCAAGAAAACAGTTCTTTGTATTGTTAGTCATCATATCCCACTGCTTAAATAACTGCTGTATTGTGGACAGTATCAAAAGCCAGGCATAGACGAATTGATATTTGGCTGGTTTTCAGTCTGATAATGCTTGTTGCCTGAATCTCTGACTTCAGTACTTGGTATTTTTCTCATAGGAACATAGAGGCACATTTTTGTACTCAGAACTGGAACATGAATCCATTTGATTCCTGTCTAAAGGCGTAGAAAACATTACCCAGTCTGCACTCTGATCGTCACCTTCAGCAGAGATCATATAACCAAGCACATAGACTTTCAGACTCCTGGCCAGCACTGAAAGGAGACTGAATCAGCCTTTTCTCTAGAAAAAAGTCAAGTATTTAGCTATTTCCTACAGGTTCTTTATCCACCACAGGAAAGGTTAATGTTGAATACAGACCCACTTTAATAGTGCTTGTGTATTATTATATATACTGGTAGGTGTATAGATATGTCAGAAGTCAGCGCAAAAATATTTTCTGAAGCTTAAAATAAGTTAAAACCCTCAACCTGACATAAAATAAAAATAACTCCAATGAAGTGTACCTGTGTTTAAAAAACAAAAAAAAAAAAAAGAGATTCTATATACTTACATTTGGTGCTGTGAAAGTGGCCATAACAGCGCTCTGTAAACTAGTAATAGTTTGCTGAAGTCCTTTAGCCCCGTACACACAATGAGAATATCAGACGATTGATCGTCTGTTTTTGTGTTTTTTTTTTGTTTTTTTTTTGTGCATGCTAGTTTAATATCGAAAACAAAGAGGTTACTAAAGTTACGGAATTTCTTGTACGACAGAATAAACATTTTAAAGTGATGTATTGTATTTTCGGACGAAAACTGTACTGATTAAACGAAAATAATACGATCTGGTATCGTACAAGAAACGTTTTCGTGCTTGTCCCTTCAAATAAATTCTGAAGAAATCTGTGAACTAAAGATCAGATAATCATACAATCGCTTCAAAAGCAGTATTTTTCATATGATTTTCTAATCGTGTGTACCAGGCTTTAAGGAAACAGACACTTCTGGAAGTTTTGAGCCCTATGCCCCCCCACAGCTTTCACTGATTTCTTCTGCTGACTTCTTTGTCACTACTATGTCCTGTAATGGATGATAGTAGGAGGGTGGGACCAGTGAAAAGGAAGATCAGAACTCCAGGAGTGTCTTTTTCTCTATGGATTTCAGCAAAATATTTCTACTGAATAGAGCAGCAATCTGTAGGTGCAACCAGAAGGAAAGATAAGTATTGGGAGTCTTCTTTACTGCTGCGCTTCTTCAGACAGGTATCATTAAACAGGGCAGTGCAACTAACACATTATTGATGTTATTTATGGCTTGTTGTTCCTGTTATTAGTTCTGTAGTTGCAGTGTACAGAATGCAGCCTTTAAAGGTGAAGTTTTTACAGAAATTAAAGTCCCTGTTCAAATTTGTGCAGATATTCCAGAGCAGCAATTGTCAGCTGCCCTTGCCTTTCACCACTGCTATCCAACAACACTGAACAACAGAGATGTAGCTAGACCAGCCGTTTTCAACCAGGGTGCCTTCAGGGGTACCTTGGCAAAGTGCCTACAAATTGCCCCAAAATTGTATACAAGTCAGTGGGTAGATCAAGCCTACCTTTTTGTTACACAAAGCCACAGATTTTCATGGCACACCATTATAACCTTCTGGACGCCGGTGTCCTAACAACCAATGACCTCATTGGTTGATATGGAGGATGTCAGGTGAGAGGTGAGTGTCCTACATGTATAAATGTTGCTGCGTTATATAAAATTATTTGTTTAGTTTTTTAAATGTTTAGAATGGGGTTCCTCGAGGTTGTGAATAATTTTAAAGGGTGCTTTGACTGAAAAAAGGTTAACATTGCTCTGGACCAACAGTGTAGAAGGAGAGGAGATATAACAGGCAGTGCACACAGAGCCCAAACAACTTCCACCCCCTCTTTCCTCCTAAGCTGCCAGATGAAGTTTTGCCATGAAGCCCTCTGCCTCATCATCTTTCCTGTTTTTTGCAGACTGAACTTGGACCCAGCCCCAGCTATTCATGGCACAGAGAGTGAAACTGTCAACTTGTGTTGTCGTGCATGATTGCGGCTGAAAAGATTGCTCTTTCATTCACAAAAAAACAAGCTGACATCATCACAAGCCATCTACTACACATGTTACTCTCAAACACAGGGGTAGACAATTAATTTTCGCAAGGGGCCACATGAGAAACTAGGAAAACTTAATTCTGTGTGCTATATTAATTTTGGACCTGGGATGGTCATAAGTAGGCAGACCTATTAAAAAAAAAAAAAAAAAAAAAAAAACACCTGGCACTAGGAATAATGGATACAACTGCTCATGAAATAAGTCTCTGAGACAGGCGGTCAAGGGGCGGTAAAAACGGACAGCTGAGTCCCCCATCTTCCCACATGAACTGTTAAATAACAGCAGAACAGGGCAATACTTTGCTTCACAGCCACAGCATTTTTAACTTGGAGACAGAGTTTAACACTGCTTGTCAAACTTGCCCATTGTAGTCAACAAGACCACGCTGCAACCGTGTTCAATGCAGTAGTGCTACATTATGGGAATTAAGTTATGCAGTGAGGAGGTGATATAACACCTCCTCACTGTCTGTTAAATACCCTCTGAAAAGTGCAGTGACTGGAAGGATCGAGCCTGAGATCAGTACACCAGGGCAGGTACTGACCTTCAGTGAAGAACAGGTGCACGGCTCCCAGGGTCTGCAGCATTTCAGGCACTAACAGAGGAAGAACTTGGCCGGGTAGGGGAATGGCAGGAGAGCACTGGGACATCTAGTCAACCCTCTCCCACCAGAAACAAGCCTCACCATTGTATCAATCAGCTTTTCAGCTTCCTCAATCAGGGACAGCCAAAGGGCCGGATGTTTCAATTTGCCCAGGTCTGCCCAAACGTGCTGTTGACAGCTTGTATTTTGTGCACACAAATTGACAATTTCACACTCTCTGGTCTGGGCTCAACCTGCAGTAAACAGGAGAAATGAGGAGACAGCATGCTTCAAAATGAAAGGGAGCGGGGCTTAGCTCTGGCTTCACCTCCCCCAATAGAAATGCACACATTTTAGGCTTCAGATGGGTGGAGTTATAGCCATCCCTGACATAAAAACGTAATCATTTTATTTTTAAGGATATGTTCACTTTTTGTAACATGTTACATATTACACCTGTATTTAAGGTATAACATGTTACTATACAGCAGCTATCTGAACCCCCCCGATCCCCTTCCTAGTGACAGTGTGCGGGGGATTTTCTCCTCATATGTGCTGTCACAATTTAAAAACAGTGAGGCTGTGCGGGGCTCCGCCCACACAGCCTTGTCATTCACTCAAAGACATTTGTAAATGAATGAACTACAAGTCCTGTCTTCCACCATAGCAGACTGCTTGTAACTCCCAATGAACTTCAGAGGTTCTGGTGAGTGCTTTGATAGTCCATTGGCAGTTCCTACACTTCAGTAACTGTCTGCCTATACAGGCAAACAGTTGTGCTGAGGGTCTGCAGTATCCTGGCATTGCACCCATGATCCACTGATTGTGGGTGCAATGCTTTGCAGACCACAGTGTAGAAGAATAATAAATGTGCATTTATTATTTATATTTTGTTTTGTTTTACAAAAGGTGAATTTAGCCTTTAAGTGCTGCATGCACTGGAGGATTTATTAGCCTCTTTTAAAAGAGAAGTTGGGCTTTTATTTTTCTATTTATACTTACCTAGGTAAAAATGCAGCATTGGTCTGATGCTGCATCTGTCCCCACCGTCTCGAAGACTGAGAACTCGGCAGTCTCATGACCGCTGATTGTGAGTTCTCTCCGCTCTGAGCAGAGAGCGAGACTATCAGTCACCGCTGTCTGCTCAGCCCCCCAGCGCTTGCTGGAGCACTGGGCTGTGGAAGGGAAGGGAGCAGCTGGCTGGGAGGCTGAGCCAGGTGCCACTCCAGACTCTGGGGTGGATCCCGACTTTGAAAGTAGGAATCTTTCCCCAGGCTGGACTGGCTGAGTGACGTCAGCCGACAACGCACTTCAGTCCGCTGGCAGCTGAAAACGGGACACAGGAGTGCAGAACGAACTGTACTCCTGTGATCCACAGGAGAAGTACAGCCAAAAAAGCTTAGGTTGTACTTCTTTAAAATACTCTTAGCATTTCATTATAAACACAGGCTATGCAGTTAATGGAAATAGATGTATTCTGTGGACACAACTGTATTGACAGCTTCTATTTGTAATCATGGTGCCACCATGCATTACAAAATCAAAATTTCAGAATGAATACTTTGAAAATGTATTCACTATACAACTGAAACCACCAGCAAAAATAATTTTCGTAAATAGTGTTGTGATATGCCCAGAGAGTTTTAGTTGCAAACAACCTTTGTAAAAGCATGTAATCTGCATGAAGAGTTAGCCTTCTATTAGTAAAGATATTGTGCATATTGGACAATAAAGCTGAACTCTGAGCACATACCAACCCAGGTATTACCTTGTAAAAGTAGCAGTGACACCATCTCTGTGTGCACTTTGCCTGTGCAACCCAGCAGGTCTATTACAAGCTACCTACAGAAAACTATAGAAAGGCGGATACAAGACCATTCACTCTGCATATAAAGAAGCAGTGACTGTTTTTTTAGAAAATTCTTGTACAATGGCATTGTGAAGGAGTTGTTTCATTTGGATTTCTGCACAGATCTGAAAGAAATGCACAACAGACACTGAGATGCAGGTAAAGGTACACATGGCTCTTGTACTGAGACGATATTTGTTCATTCCAGATGTCAGATTCAATATTCTGTGAATATTGTAAATGCAGAATCTCAACACAGTTGACAATACTTCATAAAGTGTAAATGTGTGTACTTTGCAGGTAAAGATGCTGGTGGGAGACCAATTGTTCAGCCGCTATGATCGTCTCCTCTTGCAATCCACTTTGGACTTGATGACTGATGTTGTTTATTGCCCTCGCCCAAGCTGTGAGACCCCTGTAATGCAAGAACCAGGGGACACAATGGGTATTTGCTCAAGCTGTCAGTATGCTTTTTGTACCCTTTGTAGAATGACCTACCATGGAGTCTCCCCATGCAAATTATCATCAGGTAGGTCTGTGTTGGTTTTGTAACAAAAATAGAATGTGTCTAAGGAAGGGGGTTTTGCTTTGCTTTTTACTTTAGGAAAGCTATGGCAAAATATTTATTATCTGTCACCTTTATATATAGCATAGTTCCAGAACAAGCATAAGGGCTTTTCTGATTTTTTTGGCAGTTCAATCTTAGCATAGGGCTTTCCCTGGCTGCTAGCCTGCAGTTTACTTGTACTAGTCAAAACAGCCATCTATACACAGACACCCTCTCCCTACTTCTGCAGCTACTCTGAAATGTCCCATCCTCTTTGCAATGTATTTTATTCTTCTCCCTGGTTTTGGTGTTCCTGGGTTCTAGGAGGGGCTGTGATTCTCCTATTTGTCTCTTTACCTCATGTTTTTAGTACCTATGCTCTTACTTTTCTACTTTTATGGTTTATCCTCTCTCTGTTTTCTTACTTTGCTCAGGCGTTTTCTTCTGTGGTCTGTCCCCTGCTATCCACTTTTACATTCAAGTTTATATAAATGTTGAAACCCATCTCGGGTTTATATTGTGGTCTTGCAGTTGGGTTAATTTTCCTTTTATTTCCTGTCCTGGAAAGATAACAAGGGGAACTGATACTAGACAGCTATCACCAGAACTGTTCCAATGACAACTGTAAGGCCTTATGTACACTGGTGCTCCTGAATGTGAGTTTAGGAGCTTTTGCCATGTTTTTTTGTCTATGTACACAGAGTTTACCAGAGTTTAGGAGTGTCAGATTTAGGCTTGCAGAAGAAGCATGTTCAGGAGCATTCAGGGGCATTTATTCATGTCATTGGAATATACTGTGGCCATTCAATTAAAGAAGCGTCCAAGTGTTAAACGCAGTACTGTGTTTACATGTGTTTTTGCAGAGTTTAGCGTTTTTCTGCTGCTAAGAGAGCTGAACGCCTAGGGGAAGTTCATGTGTACATGTAGCCTAAAGTTGTGGACTTCTTAAAACTCTCTGTCCAAGTGACAATGGTCACTGAGGCAGTTAAAGGGGGATAATCTCCCCAGGGGATACACAAACACGGAATACCTGACAGAGATTCAAATTCTTCTTCACTCTATCTATAACCAAACAGTTTAGAATAGCTTAAGATATACAGTACTTTCTAGCTTTTCTCCCAGTTTAACTGTTGTCAAGCAGACCTCTCCCCACTCTTATTGCTCATCAGCCACTGTCATCTAGCCCCCTGTAGTTTTGCTACTCCCACATTCAGTGTCACACTTCTTTGATGCTCTCTCTGCTCTTACAGTAGTGCACCTCTGCTCTGATTTTCTTTCTTTTCTAAGTGCCATCTGATCCTTCAGTCCATTGCCCATGCAGCACAGTGGAAGAACTTGTGTAGAGGAAACCTAGCTGTGAGGCAGGATAACGAAGCACAGAGGTACTAGAGGTGCTGGGGGGAAGAGGAGCCACACAGCCTCAACCAATACCTTTTGACCCCTATATCTGCCACCCACCTGAGAGAAGTGATCATCAAAGTTGAGATCTTTGGGTAGAGCTCCAGGATACAAATGGGTTTCTGTGTAAATGCTTTTTTTGGCTAAGAACACTAAGATGTCAGGGATGGACAGAGAAAACAAATTATGCACTAGGCTCTGCGATGCTTGGATTAGCTTTTGTACTATATCTGTTTAAGTGCTACATGTATGGAGTTAAAACACTTTTTAATTGTTGCTTTTTAAATTTGGGCATACAGGTATATAAAAGGCTCAGTAAATATTGCTTCAAATGCTTTCTAGTCACTATTTAAAATCTTCAATAGTAAGTATAATACATATTGCTAATGGCTTGTTCACCAGGCCATTGTTCAGCCATTGATGGCCGCAAGGGAAAAGGTTTTTTTTTTCTACTAAGTATGCCTCTCAGTGATTCCTGTTCTCATTTAACCACTTTAGCTTCAGAAGGTTTTACCCCCTTCATGACCAGGCCATTTTTTGCTATTTGGCGCTTTTCTACTTTAACTGGTAAATGCACATTCATGCAGTGATGTACCCAAACAAAATTTATATAAATTCGCACAAATAGAGCTTTCTTTTGGTTGGTTTAGATGACCACTGGGTTTTTTATTTTTTATTATATAAATTAAGAAAGACTAAACATTTTGGAAAAAGAAAAAAATATTTTTTTACTTTCTGTTATAACACACATCCAATAAAAAAAAATAAAAAACTCTACTTTCTTCACAAATTTAGGCCAATATGTATTCTGCTACATGTTTTTGGTAAAACAAAATCCCAATAAGTGTATATTGGATTATGTGAAAGTTGTACCGTCTACAAACTATGGTATAAATACTGGCATTTTTTGTTTATACAACTTATGGCAGTGATCAGCGACTGTAATAGTGTGGTGGGCAATCTGACACTAACTGACACTGGATGAGAACTAACTGCCAGTGACATCACTAGTGACATTAATACAGTGATAATACTATACACTGTCACTGTACTAATGACACTGACTGGGAACGGGTTAACATCTCGGGTATTCAAAGGGTTAAATGCGTGCTTAACAAGGTGTAATGTTTGCATTATGTAATGCTTTTTACTAAATATCTTTCTGCAGGGAGAAGAAACAAATAGGTTGTTTCCTCTGTACAGAGCCCGTGTTGATTGTCAACAGAGCGCTCTGGGCTGTGATTGAAAAACAGCGGATTATCAGGTTCCTGCCATGAATCATTGCTCATCAGCGACCTCTTAGTCCATTCAGAACTACAAGCCATGAGCCGCAAAGGCTGATCGAACTTATAGTTCAAGTAATTCACAGGAAACTGTGAATGAATGATGCGGCTGTGTGGGCAGAGTCCAGCACGGACGCATTATTTTAAAATGGTGACAGTGGGTGCAGGGAGAAGATCCCCTGCTCGCTGTCACTTGGGGGAGAGGCTGCACCTGTTGTAACATGTTACATGTTCCACCCTAAATACTGTTGGAACATGTAACATGTTCCAAAAGGAGAACTTATCCTTTAATACAGCCATCTTTGCCCAGGGCCAAAAAAACGCATTGGCAGACAACCAATTTCAGGCACCGCCTTTTGACCTCTTCTCTGGTTCCAGAGTGTTCACAAAGGTCTTGGCACCTCTACTTGCCTTTTCAGAACTACAGGAATCCAAATCACAGGCCTTCTTCTGAAGGACTCATGCCCCTTGAAACTATCAGAAAATGTCCACAAGACAATTCAGATGCTCCAGATATTTGGTTGGGTGATCAGTTTTAACAAATCTGATCCCCAGCCTTCTCTTCACCTGGAATACTTGGGTCTTGTCCTGGACACATCCTAAGCAAATGTCTTTTTCCCAGAAAGATATGCTTAAGAATTTAGATCCACGATACATCCCATATTGAGATTCTTCATGAAAGTTCTAGGCCTAATAGTAGCCTCCTTCGAAGCAATACCATTCGCCCAATTCCATTCAAGAACTCTCCAACAAAATATCTTGTCAACGTACAAAATACAGGTTCCTTCTCTCGATTTTACCCATGCTGCTGTTCAGCCAAACAAGGAATTCCCTACCTTGGTGGAACACCAACTCAGCCCTCACAGTGGGGAATTCCTTTCTTTCCCTTTCACTGGAAAGTTATTACAATAGATGCAAGTGTCTCAGGCTGGGGAAGAGCATTATAAATTCCTAAGAGTACAAGGAATATGGTAATTGAGAGAAGCCAAGCTCACCATCAGCATCTTGGAGCTCAGAGCAGTCATGTTGACCTCGCAGCTCCAAACTACCCTTATGATGGACCACCCAATTAGAGTACAGTCAGAAAATGCCAGGGTAGTGGCCTATGTTTGCCGTCAAGGAGACACCAGGAGTCTGGCTATCATGAAAGAAGCAAACCAGGTAATCTCATGGACAGAAACTCACTATCCAGTGATCTCTGCAGTCCCACATCCCAGGATTGGATTATCTCAGCCGCCATCACCTGGATCATGGGAAATGGGCCCTTCATCAGGATGTCTTCAGTCTGATATGCCAAAACCGGGGGATTCCAGATGTGGACATCCTAGCCTCCAGGCTCAACAACAGACCACCTCTCAATAAACTCCTGATGATGTCAGACGTTGCTGATGAAACGTGTCGGGTGGAGCTTCCGCGGTATGTTGCTTCCAGTTGGTGGAATGCAAATCGGCGTTGCTTCCTTTCTGGTGATACAGTCAGGTCCATAAATATTGGGACATCAACACAATTCTAACATTTATGGCTCTATACACCACCACAATGGATTTGAAATGAAACAAACAAGATGTGCTTTAACTGCAGACTGTCCAAATCAGGTGAACGGTGTAGGAATTACAACAGTTTGCATTTGTGCCTCCCACTTGTTAAGGGACTAAAAGTAATGGGACAGAATAATAATCATAAATCAAACTTTCACTTTTTAATACTTGGTTGCAAATCCTTTGCAGTCAATTACAGACTGAAGTCTGGAATGCATAGACATCACCAGACGCTGGGTTTCATCCCTGGTGATGCTCTGCCAGGCCTCTACTGCAACTGTCTTCGTTTCCTGCTTGTTCTTGGGGCATTTTCCCTTCAGTTTTGTCTTCAGCAAGTGAAATGCATGCTCAATCAGATTCAGGTCAGGTGATTGACTTGGCCATTGCATAACATTCCACTTCTTTCCCTTAAAAAAACTCTTTGGTTGCTTTTGCAGTATGCTTTGGGTCATTGTCCATCTGCACTGTGAAGCGGCGTCCAATGAGTTCTGAATCATTTGGCTGAATATGAGCAGATAATATTGCCCGAAACACTTCAGAATTCATCCTGCTGCTTTTGTCAGCAGTCACATCATCAATAAATACAAGAGAACCAGTTCCATTGGCAGCCATACATGCCCACGCCATGACACTACCACCACCATGCTTCACTGATGAGGTTGTATGCTTAGGATCATGAGCAGTTCCTTTCCTTCTCCATACTCTTCTCTTCCCATCACTCTGGTACAAGTTGATTTTGGTCTCATCTGTCCATAGGATGTTGTTCCAGAACTGTGAAGGCTTTTTTAGATGTCGTTTGGCAAACTCTAATCTGGCCTTCCTGTTTTTGAGGCTCACCAATGGTTTACATTTTGTGGTGAACCCTCTGTATTCACTCTGATGAAGTCTTCTCTTGATTGTTGACTTTGACACACATACACCTACCTCCTGGAGAGTGTTTTTGATCTGGCCAACTGTTGTGAAGGGTGTTTTCTTCACCAGGGAAAGAATTCTTCGGTCATCCACCACAGTTGTTTTCCGTGGTCTTCCGGGTGTTTTGGTGTTGCCGAGCTCACCGGTGCATTCCTTCTTTTTAAGAATGTTCCAAACAGTTGTTTTTGGCTACGCCTAATGTTTTTGCTATCTCTCTGATGGGTTTGTTTTTGTTTTTTCAACCTAATGATGGCTTGAGAGTTGACAGCAACAGATTCCAAATGCAAATAGCACACTTGAAATGAACTCTGGACCTTTTATCTGTTCATTGTAATTGGGATAATGAGGGAATAACACACACCTGGCCATTGAACAGCTGAGAAGCCAATTGTCCCATTACTTTTGGTCCCTTAACAAGTGGGAGGCACATATGCAAACTGTTGTAATTCCTACACCGTTCACCTGATTTGGATGTAAATACCCTCAAATTAAAGCTGACAGTCTGCAGTTTAAGCACATCATAGTTTCATTTCAAATCCATTGTGGTGGTGTATAGAGCTAAAAATTTTAAAATTGTGTTGATGTCCCAATATTTATGGACCTGACTGTATTACACATGCTTGAATGATTTTAATAGATGTAAGTGCAATTTTAAAGCGGTTTTACAATAAATAATGTATACTATGCTATGAGGAGGTCCTCTATCTCTTTCCCTCTGTGAGAGAGATTTTTTTTTCATTCAGAGTCTTTTGCTGCACAAGATTTTTTTCGATCATCCATGTGGTTCATATATGTATGCCGGTCAAACGGGAGGATACGATTCATTTGTGATATTTCAAGAGCATATGACCTTCTTTGAGAAAAGGGGTAATATATTTCTGGTGAGTGTGGTGTGTTGTCCTTGGGAAGATAGGAAGAACACTTATTTCTTTGTGTGTCTTCATTTTGCACGCTGGGAATATGGAAGTCGGCCATGGATCAATTTAAAGATGGACTTTTGTTCATGACTACTTAAGATATTTATATTGTTATTTATTTGGCACTTAATTTTGTATAGGTATTAGATATTTGTGAATATTGATTCACTTTATTATTTGTGTATATATAGCATACTGCACATAGTTTATGTTGGGAACTGGTCTTTAGCACAGTAAATTTAATCATAAGGGGTGTAGAGAACGCATTTTTTTTAAAATTTATAACAAACCACCTCTGTTGCAGGAACCAGGGATCCTTTGGCTCTGTCTCAGAAGCATTAATAATCACCTGGTATCAGTTCAGGCTAATTTATGCCTTCCCTCCAATGCGAATGCTACCTCGTCTGCTTAAGGAAATAAAGCAAGAAGGGAAAACTGTGATTCTAATTGCCCCAATTACAATGGCAACAGAAGAACCTAGTGCATACTTGGCTTTCTAGCAGACCACAGTTTGTCTATTCCCTACAGGCTAGATCTGCTATCTGCTGTCACTTTCCCTAGTAAGAACCTTTCTTCAAGGTGTATCTTGTTTTAAGCCCCCCATCCTATGCTTCCTTGAGATCTCAACTTGGTTCTCTCTGCTTTGCAGAAACCACCCTTTGAACCTATGAAGCATATTCCCCCTAAAGGATCCCTCGTGCAAAGTAGCCTTTTTGGTCACTAACATCTACCAAACATGTTTCTGGCAGCCGTTTTTCTGTAAAGTCTCCTCATACTTCACAAGGATGTCTTACTCCCAAAGCCATCCTTTCTCCCAAAGGTGGTTTCAACATTCCACCACAATGAGGACATTGCTCTCCCATCCTTATGCCCTGCTCTTAGCATGCAAAGGAAATCTCTCTACATTGCCTGAACATAGAACCATTAGAGTATAAGTTACTGCTTGGATCAGATGAATAGATTCCCTATTCTTATGTGCTTGAGACCTTTCAAGGGACATTCTGCTTCAAAATCCACCATTGCACGATGGATAAGGAATTTGTCTGCAAGTGTGTACATTTTTAAGGCAAAATCTTCTCCTGCACTTTTACGTGCTCATTCCACCAGATCCTGAGCATTTCTGCACCAAGCCTTAGTTGTTTAAGGCCACCACCTGTTTTTTCTGTTTATACAGTACCGTTTTAAAGTTTTACTGGGTGAATGTCCAATCTTTTGCTGATGCCAGTTGTGGCCGCAAGATTCTCACAGTGGCACACTGAGGTTGGCCAGTTATGTTTGCCTCATTATTGCCCACCCCTCTCATTCATTGCTTTGGAATTTCCAATGGTGTGTGAATACTCTGTCTGTATCCTGATTAAGATAAGAGGACTTACCTGTAAATTCTATAGGACACAAGCCACCCTCCTTTTCATTTCCTGGTGTACTCTTCATTGCTAGCTACAAAACTGAGGACTCAATTAGTGGGGCACCAAGGGGGCGTGCCTTCTACAGCTTTGCCAGTGTCCAATCACCTAAAGATGTCTATAACCTATGGTGTATGAATACTTTGTCTCCTGTACTGTACTCAAAGGTATGAAACTTATGGATAAGTCAAAACTCCTCTTTTTAGCAAGCTAAATGTCATCCAATTTGAATTTTAGATCTATACTTTAATGTGCAAAAAAAATAAATTTTTTTTAATCCTAAAATCACTAATCTAACTACCACATTATCTCATTTTTAGATGGCTAAATATGCTATACCTCTTCTTAATCAGTCTTAAATCCAGTGTTTTTCTCTTTGACTTGTTTTCAGAGAAGCTACTTGCATTGCGTGATGAATATTTGGCTGCAGATGAGGATGGTAAGAAATTTTTGGAGAAGAGATATGGGAAGCGAGTACTCCAGAAGGCAGTGGAAGAACTGGAGAGTGTGGAATGGCTGGAGCAGAACTCCAAACCCTGTCCTCGCTGTGGAACCTACATTCAGGCAAGTAACTGCAATCTGACAAAGGCAAAAGGGCAGGCTAGAGACTGGAAAAGGCAGGTATCCATCTTGTACATTTCCTTGCATTTGTCCTCTATTCAGCTTCTGAATAACAAGTCAACTAACTTGTAGAAAGACTGTGAGAAGAGGCAAAAAACGCAACCATTGTGCAGCACTATAAATAAGAACTAAATATGTAATGAGCAAATATGGTATACAGATAATTGCGAACTTTACACAGAAATGAGGTTTCTAAATTGGTAGCTCAGAACAATGGGATTTTTTAAATTAAACATGTGAAACTCTGCAGTGGGCAAATAGTAGGCAAAATTGGGAGAACTTAATCATCAGGGGGGCCACTTTGACTACTGAGGACCACACCTACCTAATTGCAGAAAGAGATTATGGTGCTTTGGCATTTAAGATTATAGTAAACATTGCAATTTACAATAATAATTCCCAGAGAGATGGGGCATAAATATTTCCTGAAGTATTTAGCTGCAAAATTATATAAAAAGTGTAATTTTCAACTGGAGAACAGCCACATTTTTTTTTCTAATTTAACCAGTTGTACATTTAAGGGATGTGTAGCATGGCCAAAACAAATTCATCCAGGTACACATAGTATGTTTCATACAAAGTAAAAAATTTAAACCAGTCCATGGTATAAAAACCTCTTCACCTGGGAGGTTTTCAAAACTCATCCCAGTCTTCCTGTCTCTTCTCACAACTCTCAGGTCAGACAATCTAGATACTACTTTTCTAAAAGAAACATTCCATTCAGAATTGGCAGAAAATGTTCAAAGGTCAATTCAGGTGCCTCATGCCTTTGGCAAGGTGGTAAGCTTTAAATATCTGTTTTAAAGCTCATTCACCCCCTGTATCTTGATCTAATTCTAAATACTTCCCTAATACAGGTCTGTCTTATAAAAAAAGTTTATTTTCACTCGCTGAGCGTCAACAAAAATCCTGCAGTAAGATTCTCTGTAAGAATCCTGGGTAAGAAGGTCTGGCTAGGTAGAAAATATCCCTATGTCAGGGAACGTAGTCAAGATCTGAGCCTAGATTCTCCTACAGCACCCTGGACTGCAGAGTGGTCAAAATGTCTCTCACCAAAGGGACACCGAACTATGATACAGTTTGCAAATGCCACCATACTGACATTCACCAACCACAAGTGATTTAACTATCTATTATTCCCGTAGACAAAAACTCATTGTCCACTAACTCTTCCAATCCACAACCTAGGAAAAAAGGTTGACAGGTGGACATTTTCAGCCACCACCATCTGGGCCAAGAAAAATAGTTTTTTTTTATCTAGACATATGTAATGTATTATGCCATACATAGAAAATTCTGGAAATAGGCATCCTAATCTCCAGTTACCACAAGTGAACTTTTTTTGTTCTAATTCCATGAATGCTCTTATTTTTAGTGTTAGATCTTCTAACTATCCACTGCTCTAAGTTCAGGCCACTCAAGTCTTTCCTCCACTCAGCATTCTGCTTCCCTTTTCTGCCATCTAGCGTGCAAGAGGAACACAGTGTTCTCAAATACCTAATTGGTAAAGAACATCTGGGTATGTGAACATCCTCCGGCTTCTTACAGAAAACCCTCTGCCTTCTTCCCATTTGCCTGGCATTTCACCAGTATTAAGAGCTACTGAAACCCACATCCAAATGAACAGAGGGATCTCCGATTCTGTCAATCCTACCTTGCTGAAGGTAAAAAATAGAAGCCACATCCACAAACATTTATTATTGTACTTGGAAATCTTATACAGTCTGCATTCACAGCATTATATTCAATTCCAGAGCTTACTCCTTATCCCTTCTCTGGACTTTTAAACTCAGATCTGACCAGAACCTAGCTCTCAGCACCCTAATAGGTCAGGTTTAGGCCTTATCCATCCATTCTATGGGCTTTAGCCTTTTCAGGTTCCTTCTTCCATCAGGCCCCCTGTGTCTCCTGGGGACCTTAATGCAGTTCTCCTCCTTACCAGAAACCACCCTGACAACTATTGGGGACATATAATACAAACAAGGTGTGCTACCCCTTTAAGAATAAAAAAAAATAATCATTAACTAATTTCATGTTCTTCAACAATAAAAAGTGCATAATCAATATGTGATTATACAGTATAATACAAATAATACCGTAAAAAAATGCAATGTCATCAAATGAATATTAAGTGAACAAAGTCCCAAAAGTGAGAAATATTTCTTTAATTGATCCACACAATGATGCAGTGCCAACAGTGTTCTCACAGCACACTACTTGTGCTCCAATACACCTTCCGCTGGTGTTTATACTCTCCCTACCATATTAAAAGATCCCACAAAGAGATCACAGTGCACCTGGCTGCCTTGCAGCTATACACCATTCCTCCATCACGATTACTCAGTAACTCTAAATGCCATTCTCAGCAGAGATGTGGAAATAAGAAGGATCGAATCCCATAGTGTAGTATTAAAAATAACCTCTCGGTTTATTTAAAATTTGCACTTACAGGAACAGAAGACAAATCAGGATGTATATACAAAGACAAGCACAGCCACATTGTCGTGTGTGGTGACAGGCACTGTCAGGAGAAAGAGGCTCATACTTGACATCAGTGTAATGATTTATACATCCACTGGAAAAGAGATGCCGTGATATTTAAAAAACAATCCAAGTCTAGGCAATTACAAAATGCACAAAAACACTCTTATGTAAATATATTAAAAGGTATTGCATCCAAATCATTCCTGAGTATAATACAATTTTCCAGACATATAAAAGAATGCCCAACCATTGGGGACACTACCTGAAAATCCCTGGCCAACATGGTAGCTTTTTCTGGTAGCAGAGTATCTCATAACTGGCGACTCCTCCTGCTAAGTGCTCTGCCTCATGATTTACCAATCTAACATTCTTCTGACCTCCTTACACTCTGCTCCTAGGAAACTTGAGGACATCCCTCTACATTTTTGGACTATTGTCAGAACTATTAAAGCATACCTTCTTCCAAAAAACAGTTCTTCTTTGCTTTCCTTCAGCCATCACAAAGGGCACTTTACTTCCAGACCCACCAGGTGTTATGATTGACACAGACACCTCCTTTTGCACTAATATGCACACACTTCACCACAATAGTTGGAGCATCCTGGGCTTTAGGCTTAAAGAATATGTTACCCCAACATTTCATATTCCTGATATGTGCCTGCTGTACCATGTACTTCTATGAAAAAGTATCCTGTTCTCTTTGTGTTGCTTCCTTTTGTGTGAAATTCCTGGTGTTCCTGCCAGTCCCACTGCTTTCCTATTTAACACTGACCAAACTAGGCAGGAGAGCACATCCTGGCCATTTTTGTGCCTGTGCTGGGAGCTAATCTGCACAGCAGTTCACTGGAAAGATCAGTGTGCTGATGTTTTTTCTCCTTCTTATGCAACTGAGAACAGAGGGTATGTGATCACTTATAAAAAACAGAAACAAAGGTATTTATATACAAGGTGAGGGTTTACATATCCTTTAAGCCTCTGTTGCCCATCTCTGTTAGGCCATTACCTCGTTTTCCTACCTACCTTCAAGTTACCAGGTACATGTTTTGCCTATTCATGGTGCAGGTTTTGACCTCAAGGTACTTGCAGCACCACCCTGAATTTTGGGTAACTTTTCACCCCTATTGTTGAGCCTGTTGGCACAGTTCTGGTGCTTAGTTATTGACTTACCTTTCATTTATTGCTTTGGGACATCCCATGGTGTATGAATAAGTTGCTTGTGTCTTATACTGTATGATTAAGATAAGAGGATTTTGACTTGCCTATAATTTATTAATTTGAAGTACAATATAGAACAACCTCCTTGTTACTCTGCACTGTTTACCACAAAACTGAGGATTCACAGAGTGGGGCTGGGCTATAGGAGTGGTGTCCCGAGGGGGGCAGGTTCTCAAAAGCTGCGAGTGTTCAGTCACCTGAAGGTACCAGCCTATAACATATGGTGTATAAAAAAGTTGTCTGTGTCCTGTACTGTACTCCAATATATGGTATTTACTGTCAATATATGGTTTTTAAGTCAAAATTCACAATACTATTAAAACCTCAAGGTTTTCAAAATGTATTATTAACATAGAAACTGGAGGAGTCACCAGTAAAATATCAATAACTTAATAATATCAAAAAGAATAAAAGCCTGGTTATGACTCAGTCACTATATACTCAAAAAAATTAAATTTCACCCAATATAAATGAAAAACATTACAATTGTTAATGATAGCAATGCAAATGAAATACAAATATTTATTAACACATATAACTTACTAAATTATCATATGATTAAAAAAGCTTGTCCAATAAGAAAAATAAAAAGAAACCACACCCCCTTCTTTTGTCCTCTCGTGCTCACTAAATGTCAGTATATACAGGTGAAACTCGAAAAATTAGAATATCGTGCAAAAGTTCATTTATTTCAGTAATGCAACTTAAAAGGTGAAACTAATATATGAGATAGACTCATTACATGCAAAGCAAGACAGTTCAAGCCGTGATTTGTCATAATTGTGATGATTATGGCTTACAGCTCATGAAAAAGCCAAATCCACAATCTCAGAAAATTAGAATATTACATGCAATCAATAAAACAAGGATTGTACATAGAACAATATCGAACCTCTGAAAAGTATAGGCATGCATATGTACTCAGTACTTGGTTTGGGCCCCTTTTGCATCAATTACTGCCTCAATGCGGCGTGGCATGGAAGCTGTGGCACTGCTGAGGTGTTATGGAAGACCAGGATGCTTCAATAGCGGCCTTCAGCTCTTCTGCATTTTTCGGTCTCATGTCTCTCATCTTTTTCTTGGCAATGCCCCATAGATTCTCTATGGGGTTCAGGTCAGGCGAGTTTGCTGGCCAAACAAGCACAGTAATCCCACGGTCATTGAACCAGGTTTTGGTACTTTTGGCAGTGTGGGCAGGTGCCAAGTCCTGGTGGAAAATGAACTCAGCATCCCCATAAAAAGCTCGTCTGTGGAAGGAAACCTGAAGTGCTCCAAAATCTCCTGGTAGACGGCTGTGTTGACCCTGGACTTAATGAAGCACAGTGGACCAACACCAAGAGATGACATGGCTCCCCAAATCAACACAGACTGTGGAAACTTCACACTGGACTTCAAGCATCTTGCAGTGTGTGTCTCTCCATTCTTCCTCCATACTCTGGGTCCTTGGTTTCCAAATGAGATGCAAAAGTTGCTCTCATCAGAAAAGAGGAATTTGGACCACTGAGCCCACTGAGCAACAGACCAGGTCTGTTTTTCTTTAGCCCAGGTAAGACACATCTGACGTTGTTTGTTGTTCAGGAGCGGCTTGACGAGGAATACGACATTTGAAACCCATGTCCAGGATCCGTCTGTGTGTGGTGGCTCTTGATGCACTGATTCCAGCCTCAGTCCACTCCTTGTGAAAGTCCCCAACACTTTTGAATGGCCTTTTCCTGACAATCCTCTCCAGGCTGCAGTCATCCCTGCTGCTTGTGCGCATTTTTCTTCCACACTTTTCCCTTCCACATAACTTTCTATTAATGTGCTTTGATACAGCACTTTGTGAACATCCAACTTCTTTTGCAATTACCTTTTGAGGCTTTCCCTCCTTATGGAGGGTGTCAATGATGGTTTTCTGCACAACTGTCAGGTCAGCAGTCTTTCCCATGATTGTGATTCCTACTGAAGAGGAAGATGAAAGTAAGAGTGCACAAACCTTGCGCATTACCTCAATAAGTAGTGACTAATTTTATTAATAAGGACATATACTCACAAAGTGATGGTATAACAGGCATAAGTAACCATAATCCAGACAGGGTTACAGGTAAATCGAAAAGGGGGGAGGGATGAAGGGTGCTCCCTTCTTCATCAGAGCTGGGTTGAGCAGATAGAGACTTCAGTATGGCAGAGTTCCCATGGCAAGGAGATATTCAGCCACTGAGTGTCAGTATTACAGCAGTTCACCCTTCGAAACGCGTTAGCCTTCATTTCCCTCCCCCCCTTTTCGATTTACCTTTAACCCTGTTTGGATTATGGTCACAAATGTGAGTCTCTGGTCATCCCCTGTACTATGTCCGCAGTCTCTGGTCATCCCCTGTACTGTGTCCGCAGTCTCTGGTCATCCCCTGTACTGTGCCCGCAGTCTCTGGTCATCTCCTTTACTGTGTCAGCAGTCTCTGGTCATCTCCTGTACTGTGTCAGCAGTCTCTGGTCATCTCCTGTACTGTGTCAGCAGCCTCTGGTCATCTCCTGTACGGTGTCCGCAGCCTCTGGTCATCCCCTGTACTGTGTCCGCAGTCTCTGGTCATCCCCTGTACTGTGTCCGCAGTCTCTGGTCATCCCCTGTACTGTGTCTGCAGTCTCTGGTCATCCCCTGTACTGTGTCCGCAGTCTCTGGTCATCCCCTGTACTGTGTCCGCGCAGTCTCTGGTCATCCCCTGTACTGTGTCCGCAGTCTCTGGTCATCCCCTGTACTGTGTCCGCAGTCTCTGGTCATCCCCTGTACTGTGTCCGCAGTCTCTGGCCATCCCCTGTACTGTGTCCGCAGTCTCTGGTCATCCCCTGTACTGTGTCCGCAGTCTCTGGTCATCTCCTGTACTGTGTCAGCAGCCTCTGGTCATCCCTTATACTGTGTCCGCAGTCTCTGGGTCATCCCCTGTACTGTGTCCGCAGTCTCTGGTCATCCCCTGTACTGTGTCCGCAGTCTGTGGTCATCCCCTGTACTGTGTCCGCAGTCTGTGGTCATCTCCTGTACTGTGTCCGCAGTCTGTGGTCATCTCCTGTACTGTGTCCGCAGTCTGTGGTCATCTCCTGTACTGTGTCCGCAGTCTGTGGTCATCTCCTGTACTGTGTCCGCAGTCTCTGGTCATCTCCTGTACTGTGTCCGCAGTCTCTGGTCATCTCCTGTACTGTGTCCGCAGTCTCTGGTCATCTCCTGTACTGTGTCCGCAGTCTCTGGTCATCTCCTGTACTGTGTCCGCAGTCTCTGGTCATCTCCTGTACTGTGTCCGCAGTCTCTGGTCATCTCCTGTACTGTGTCCGCAGTCTCTGGTCATCTTCTGTACTGTGTCCGCAGTCTCTGGTCATCTCCTGTACTGTCCGCAGTCTCTGGTCATCTCCTGCACTGTGTCTGCAGTCTCTGGTCATCTCCTGTACTGTGTCCGCAGTCTCTGCTTCATCTCCTGTACTGTCCGCAGTCTCTGGTCATCTCCTGTACTGTGTCCGCAGTCTGGTCATGTCATCTCCTGTACTGTCCGCAGTCCGCAGTCTCTGTACTGTCAGTCTCTGGTCATCTCCTGTACTGTCCGCAGTCTCTGGTCATCTCCTGTACTGTCCGCAGTCTCTGGTCATCTCCTGTACTGTCCGCAGTCTCTGGTCATCTCCTGTACTGTCCGCAGTCTCTAGTCATCTCCTGTACTGTCCGCAGTCTCTGGTCATCTCCTGTACTGTGTCTGCAGTCTCTGGTCATCTCCTGTACTGTGTCTGCAGTCTCTGGTCATTTCCTGTACTGTGTCTGCAGTCTGTGGTCTCTGGTCATCTCCTGTACTGTGTCCGCAGTCTCTGGGTCATCTCCAGTACTGTCTGCAGTCTCTGGTCATTTTCTGTACTATGTCTGCAGTCCATTTTTTTGGTTCAGAATATTTTTTTTCTTGTTTTTCACCTCTAAAACCTAGGTACGTCTTATGAGCAAAATATACGGTACTTGCCTATGTCCTTAATCAATCCAGTGCTATGCACAACTGCATCTCTGCTCTCCCCCTCTCCCTCTACTATCACCACTGGCTCCAGCTGCTGACATTCAAGTGCTGTAAGGAGGAAGCGAGGGGGATGGGACCGAGCCGTGCTGTGTGTGTTTATGTAAGCACATACCTCAGCTCAGAATCGGGTCCACACGTCTGCCCCAATAGCAAGCGGCTTTCTGGTGGCAGACACAGAAGAGGAAGATCCAGGATTGTTGGTGGAAAAGGAGGTTCAGGGCCACTCCTTTTCCACCAACAACATTGCACAGAGCAGCAAGCATAACATGTTTAATATAATAATTTTTTTTTTTTAAAATGTGCCTTTTTAGAAACGCTTTAAGAACTCACTGAGGTTCCTGAGGAAATTAAATTTCTAACCCATGTTTTTCCCTTTTGTCATTCCTGAACCAGTAGGGCTGACCTTGAGCAATCTATTACAGCAATGCTGTGACATGTTTTTTTAGTAAAGTCTGCTGTTCTTTGCATGGGTGTCTTCTAATCTGTGGCTGGTTATGTGATCAAAATCCAGGTCTTCATTCTGGAGAAGGTTGCAGGAATGTTCACATATATATCTGTAGCTGCCTATGCTTATACTTTTTTCTTACAATTTTATGCTATCTTCTTGAACAGCCCTAAACAAAGCTTTGGTAATTGATCATAAGTCAGTAACTCCATCTTTCTGAGTATATGGGTAATTTCTAAGTCATTTTGTGTGTTTGTCCAACATGATAAAATGTAACGTTTTTTTTTTTTTTTTTTTTTTTTCCTACAGAAAATTGATGGGTGCAACAAAATGACATGCACTGGGTGCAAACAGTATTTCTGCTGGCTGTGTAAGAACATGTTGTCCAGAGGAAATCCATATGACCATTTTAATGACTCTTCTTCAGGCTGTTTTAACCTGTATGTATATGTCTTCAGTTTAAGTTGCTTGTGAATAATATACAATGCTAGTATATTTTGGCCTACCATATCTAAATGTTATCTGCACACTAGATATAAAGAGGAACTGAACTCTGCATGCTGTGCCTTAAAAAGGAACGCACAGGTCTAGTCACTAGTGTTGCCTTTCTTGCAGCTGACCTTTCCCCATTACTGACTTACATGTCTTGTTCTGTACTGTGCCTGTGTAGGGCAGCCAACCTGGTAAAGGCAGGACGGACTTTCCTTGTTACAGCCTCAAGCAAGCAGGACAATGAGAAGCACAGTAGTAGCATCACCAAATCTCACTCCATATTTGTGACAGTAGTAGTCAGAGTTAGCAGTGCCTTAATCTGGTGTGATATGGTCCAGAAATATTTAGAATAAAGGTGAATAAAGAACCTTTACCAGACGGCATACACCCACGGGTTCTAAAAGAATTGAGCTCCATCATTTCAAACCTATTGTTACAAATTTTTAGAGATGCTGTAATGAGTGGCATAGTACCACTGGATTGGTGTAAGGCCATTGTGGTGCCCATATTTATAAATAGGGCAAAGTCTTTGCCAAGTAACGTCAGACCTTTAATTTAACCTCTATAGTCAGGAAGATACTGAAGAGTTTAATAAAAGATCACATAGAACAGTTTTTGCTAGAAAATAATATATTTTAAGCAATAGGCAGCATGAATTCATGAAAGATAGAAGTTGTTAAACAAATCTGATCTCTTTTTATGAGTAGGTGAGCAAAACCTTACACAATGGAGTGGCGGTGGACTTAGTACACTTGGATTTTTGCAAAAGTGTTTGACTCCGTTCCCCACACACGGCTAATGTGTAAGGTAAAGTCCACAAGCTTAGAGAAATCAGTTTGTAAATGGATAGAAAACTGGCTAAAAGGCTGTATTCAGAGAGTAGTGGTTAATGATTCATACTCTGAATGGTATAAGGTTATCAATGGTGTACCCCAAGGTTCAGTGTTGGGACCCTTACTCATTAATATATTTATAAATGATATAGGGGGTTTGGGATTAAAAGTACCATTTCAGTCTTTGCAGATGACACCAAACTATGCAGTGGAAGATCATCCTTACATGATGTCTCCAACTTATTTCCTCCTCACTGTATTTGATAGACAGCAGCAGGAGCCAATGGCACTGATGTATAAATACATCAGTGGTTCATATAGTGAACTCGGTGTAGAGCTATTCACCCTGAGGTCATCACAGAGGACAAGGGGCAATCTTTACATCTGAAGGAAAAGAGATTTAATCTCCAAATACGGAAAGGTTTCTTCACAGTAAGAGCTGTGAAAATGTGGAATAGACTCCCTCAAGAGTTGGTTCTGACAGCTCAGTGGATTGATTTAAAAAAGGCCTGGATTCCTAGAAACACACAATATAACTGGATACTAAGATTTATAGGTAAAGTTGATCCAGGGAATATCCGACAGCTTCTCCGGGGATCAGGAAGGAATTTTTTCCCAGCAGTAGCAAATTGAATCATGCTTTACTGGGTTGTTTTTTTTTTTGCCTTCCACTGGATCAACTGTGGGTATAGGATTACTACGGTTTTTTTTTTTTGGTTGAACTGGATGGACTTTTGTCTTTTTCAGCCAGACTAACTATGTTGCTATGTGTAGAAAATGGTAGTAGCTGTAATTTTTTTTGTCATAATTGCACTACTGTTTATCAAAAACCGTTTTTTTTCACTAAATATACACTTACATTAATTTAGTGCACACAAATACAATATAATATCCAATTTCTTGGTAATATATAAAATATGAAATTGTATCAAGTGAATAGATAGCAAATATGTTAAGCCTCAAAATTGCATAAAAGCATACTGCTATGGTGCTCAAAATTATTTGCAGGCAATGTTTTAAAAGTTTTTACAACTCATCAGCTAACCGTTAGCTAGCCCTGGAATTATTGCTCTCACTCCAGTATGAACAGCGATACATAATGCGTTTGGTACAATTGTTGTTTTTTTTTTACATTTGTGCACCCAACTTGCTCATATGTGCTTGCAGGTTTTTTAACCACTTGCCTACCAAGGCAGTTTTGACATGTTTCACATACATGTGTAAAATTAGCATTTTTTTTTTTGCTAGGAAATTAGTAAGAATCCCCAAACATTATACATTGCTCTTCATAAATGAGTACACCCCTTTTGAAAAGTAAGATTTTAATCAATATCTCAATGAACACAAGAACAATTTTCTAAATTTTGACGAAACTGAGTTTTATAGAAAAAATTGTTTAGCTCATTATATGAAAGTAAAGTTAATAATTTAACTTAGATTACAAAATCTTTAGTTTTACTCAAATAGTTGATGCAAAAATAAATACCCCTCAACAAAAACTACTACATCTAGTATTTTGTATGACCTCCATGATTTGTAAGGACTTCACCAAGTCTTCTAGGCATGGAATGAACAAGTTGGCAACATATTGCTACATCTATCTTTTTCCATTCTTCAAGAACGACTTCTTTTAGAGCCTGAATGCTGGATGGAGAGTGATGCTCAACTTGTCACTTCAGAATTCCCCATAGGTGTTCAATTGGGTTCAGATCAGGAGACATACTTGGCCACTGAATCACTTTCACCCTGTTCTTCCTCAGAAATGCAGCAATGGCCTTAGATGTGTGTTTTGGATCATTGTCATGTTGGAAAAGCAAACGATGACCAAGGGGATAAAGTGATGGTAGCATCTTTTTTCAATGTAGAGCAGTACATCTGTGGATACATGATACCATCAATGAAATGCAGCTACCTGACAACAGCAGCACTCATGCAGCCCCACAGAAGGACACTGTCACCACCATATTTCACTGTAGGCACCATGCATTTTTCTTTGTACTCCTCACCTTTGCCACGCCATACAGTTTTGAGTCCATCAATTCCAAAAATCATTTATCTTGGTCTCATCACTCCAGAGTACAGAGTCCCAGTAGTCTTCTTTTTCAGCATGGGCCCTGGCAAATTCTAGGCAGGCTTTTTTGTGCATGGGCTTTAGGAGAAGCTTCCTTTGTGGATGACACCCATGAACGCCATTCCTCTGCAGTGTACGTCGTATTGTGTCACATGAAACAATCACCCCAGTTTGGCTTTCTACTTCTGTAGCTAACTGCAGTGAACTTGCATCGTGATTTTCCTCAACCCCTCTCATCAGAAGATGCTCCTGTCAAGGTGTTAACTTCCGTGGGGGACCTGGACGTCTTTGTGAGATTGTTGCAGGTCCATCTTTGTTAAATTTTTGTATCGCTTTTGCTACAGTATTCTGGCTGAAAGTAAAGCTTTGCTGATCATCTTGTAGTTTTCACCTTTCTTGTGTAAAGAAATTATTTTCTTTCTCAGGCCATGTGACATTTCTCTTCCATGTGGTGCCATTATTGACAGCATGAAATGGGAAGGGGTTTTCTTTGTTAACTACCTGCCAACCGCAGATAGCCGAATGACGGCTTCACTGCGGCCGGCCAGTTCTGGATGGATGTCATATGACGTCCCCCCAGAACGCGCTCTCGTGCGCGCCCCCCGGCGATCTCCGTGATCGCTGTGTCCTACGGACACAGCTGATCACGTGATGTGGTAAAAGGCCAATCACAGCGGCCTTTTACCACCTGATCAGCGGTGTCCAATGACACGCTGATCAGAGGGAAATGCCAGTGCCGGTTCTCGGCTGCACTTTCCTCACGCTGTCAGATCGTGAGGAAAGTACTGCCGAGAACCGTCAGTTGTCAGAGCGGGGATCGGCACCGATCATCAGGGCACTGATGATCAGTGCCCTGATGATCGGTGCCCAGCAGTGCCACCCGCAAGTTCCGCCCACCTGTGCCCAGCAGTGCGCCCACTAGCTCCGCCCCACCTGTGCCAGCAGTGCACCCACCTGTGCCCAGCAGTGCACCCACCTGTGCCACTCTGCAGTGCCACCTACCTCGCCCAGAAGTGCCACCTACATGTGCCCAGCAGTGCCACCCACCTGTGCCCACCAGTGCCCACCCACCTGTGCCCACCCACCAGTGCTGCCCATCAGTGCCACCCACCAGTGCAGCCCAGCAGTGCTGCCAGTCAGTGCCACCAGTCAGTGCCCAGGGGTTGTGCCAGTCAGTGCCCAGCAGTGATGCCAGTCAGTGCCGTCTATCAGTACCCATCATCAGTGTCACCTATCAGTGCCGCCTATCAGTGCTGCATATTAGTGCCGCCTATCCGTGACACCTCATTAGTGATGTATATCAGTGCCGCCTATCCGTGCCACCTCATTAGTACTGCCTATCAGTGCCCTTTAGTGCTGCCTATCAGTGCCCATCAGTGCCGCCTCATCAACGCACATCAGTGAAGGAGAAAAAATGCCTGTTTGAAAAATTTTATAATAGAAACAAAGAAACTTTTTTTTTTTTTTTTTTTTTTGCAAATTTTTTGCACTTTTTTATTTATAGCTCAAAAAGTAAAGCGCCCAGTGGCGATTAAATACCACCAAAAGAAAGCTCTATTTGTGAGAAAAAAATGATCAAAATTTCATATGGGTACAATGTTGCATGACCGCGCAATTGTCAATCAAAGTGCGGCAGCGCTGAAAGCTGAAAATTGGCCTGGTAAGGAAGGGGGTACAAGTGCCTGGTAGGCAAGTGGTTAAGTAACACCCTTTTATAATCAGCTGTCTGTTGGACACCTGTTTAATGAATAATTAGACTCACCTGTAGTTCTTGTTAATTAGGATTTTGTTGTCTAAAATTTAGCCTTGCTACTTAGGCTACATTCACACTAGCCTTGTTAGCAAGTGGCAAACAGGCGTTTGGGAAACGGTAAAAACGCTTCCCAAACGCCTGGGAAAATTCTGCACATTGCAGCACACGGTGCTGTTCAAACGGGAGCATTAGCTTCACGTTGTGTCATGTCGCGGCAAAACGGACTCCTCTGGTCGACTCAGGAAGAGTTGAAGCCTCCTATTCAAGTCTATGGTGCCGCTCCGCAAATGCCCAGCCAGCATTTGCGGGGTGTTTGCAGAGCATT